TCTCTCTCTAGACTTGACTTTATACAATACACATTGTATGTACAATATACACGCGTGTGTATGTATGTGTATGTATGTGTTTGTCTTTATATGTCATGTAATGCATACTACAAATTGTATATCCGTTCTTCTATGCCGCTTAAAAAATACAGAAATTACTTATTATTATCTTTATTCGATAAAGAGACGTCCTCTTTAGTTACAAAAAAAAAGAAAAAAAGTGATATTTACGAGTTCATATAATCAATCTACAATTGATCTCTGACTCAATTTCAATAATTCCCTCTAGTCCGTGGCGCATTTTGCTTTTGCAGTTCTCTCTTGATGTTTTATTATTAACGAATAGAACTTTACATCGGGTAATAAATACGGATCGTGGTGCCAGGATGGCGTGCCTTTGTTAAGATACAAGGTACGACTACAAGTCTTTTCTACTGATAGAAATCAAGAGCGTCACGCAAGGGATCCGGCATCGATCGGGTCTCGTCAAACATGTACTTATTATACGTATTTTTGTACACTTGATAAAATCCACAACGAATAACCATATCGTAACTTAAATTCATTTCAAATTTATTACGGGCATACGTCGGCCTGGACTTAGCCCTTTCAGAATCTCCTTCGTTTTCCGCTCCGCTTTTCTTCTGATCGGCAACTGTTTCGTTCGCGCTATCAGATTTCGCGTCTGTCATCGATTTGCTCTTACCCTCGGCCTCCCGTCTCTCCCCGTCGCCCCGCGGCCGCGTGTTACTTTTTTCGTGTTTAGTCATCGCCGCCTTTCGCTGCAGCAACTTCCTACGTTGCTTCTTCGACTTGAACCACAAATCTTCGTTGACGCTCTCCGCGTTGTCGTCGCTTGCACGGTGGTTCAAATCGTGCTTGGGATTCTGCGCGTTGTTCTTCTTCTTTCTCCTCCTGTTCCTCTTCCTTTTTTTCTGACTATTCGATGCCTCCTCCTCCTGATCCGACTTCAGCTTGTCCTCCGAAGTCGCGGTCTTGTCTTCTTTTCCGCCCCCCTCGGACAGATATAAGAAGCAATTGTAATTCATCCGAGATTTCTCAGCCAACGAGACGTCCTCGTCGTTCGTTTTCGCCTCGTTTGCTGACTGACGATCTTTCGGATCTCCCTCGTCATCGTCGTCCGAGACCAGTTCGTCGTGAGAGGTATCGTCGTTGTCCTCGTAATTGCCGGGCTGTTCCTTCGTGTCGTTTGGTGCCGGAGGATTCGTCAGGAAGTCGGGTATCTGCGAGTCGGTGGCCAGCTCATTCGGCACTGACCGACGATCCTTCGAAATTTCCTCATCATCGCCCGACATCAGTTCGTCGTTGGAGACGACCTCATTGTCGTCACCGAGCCCCTCCGCGTCGTCTTCCGGAGGATTCAACAGGAAGTCCGGTATCTGCGAGTCAGTCGCCGCTAATTCAGGCTCATCCGGTGGAACGGCCGGTTCCGCGCTCTCTTGAAAACCACCGCCGAGCAACTCCTCCACCTCCATCGAAGCCTGCAACGCGTTGAAGTTCTCCTTGTGCTTGCGCGAATTCTCGTGATTCATGTAGGCCTTGTGCGTCTTGAAGATCTTATTGCAGACGATGCAATAGAGCGTGTCGCAGTCGTTCGCGCTGCCGTCGTCGCTGTCGTCGCCGAGGGTCGCCTCGATCTTTCTCAGCTCCGCCTCCATGTTCGAGAACTTGGACCACTCGGACTCGGTGTGCTCGCGCAGCAGCCTCTGCCGTTCCAGCACCTGCGCCTTCTTCCGCTCTTCCACTTTGCGCACGTTCTCGCGAGCGCGTTCCGCCAGCTTCGCTGCGTGCGCCTGCACGCGCTTGTCGCGCTTGCGAACGAAGGCGACGAGGTTGCGCACCTGTTCGTTCCTCTGGCGCCTCGCCTTGTCCTGCACCTTTCGGTTCTCCTTCTCGGCGAACCGGAACACTCGACGGTTCGGCGCGTTCCTCAGGTCGAACGGATTCAACCAGGCGAAGGTTCTCTTCGTGCTGTAGCTCTGCCAGTAGGCGTAGAAGTTGTGCACCACTTCTTCGTACAAGCTCCGAGAGTTGCCGAAGCCGGGCATCTCCACCTCGGACTCGCTGTCCTGAGCGAACTCTTGGTCCTCCCTGGCTAATTTCTCGAAAACGGTGCGGTACACGGTGTAGAAGCCATTCTCGTCGTCCCCGTAGCCCTCGAAGCACATGGTGGAGAAGTACGGGAAGAGGTTAATGGAGCTGTCCTTGTAATCCTCCGTTGTATCCTTCAGTATCGCCTCCCGGTGATTGTCGTACCAAGTTCTCTCGTGGGGGTCGCTGAGCACATCCCATGCTTGCTTGATGCGCTGAAACTGTTTCTTAGCTTCGTCCGGATTGCTCAGGTTTTTGTCCGGATGCCATGTTAACGCCAGCCTCCTGTACGCCGCCTTTATGTCGTCGTACGTGGCGTTCCTGGTGACGCCTAGCACCTCGTAATGACATTTCATCGTAGAGCTGTACGATTACACACAATCGTACCAAGTACAATTTTTCCTTCTTTTTTTCTTTACTTTTGCACCACAAACTGCACGTTAAAAGAATTGAGACGCTGTTAAACTACGAAATCAAACAGCTCTCCGATAATCTAACAATATGCAGAAATTGGTGTAAACACAGGTGGCTGAATATGATTTAGGAGCTTATTGGTTCAGTTTCTTCTCATTGCGTTAGCTTGAATCTGACAAAATCTGTAAGAGGAACAAAGAAAGAGTACATATAATTAGAAGACGTTATTACAAGTACACGAAAAATTTTATGTAATTCTTAAGACTTTTCATTAAGCGCACATCGATATTGAAATTGTACATATCTACGTATCTACTTGATGAATATTCTAAATGAACCACACGATCGATTCTATGTCGTCGAATGCAAGTTTGTTAAAATTCTAGTCGAGCGATATCGATGCGAGACATTTCAGAAGTTCTTTTGACAAGTGATTTAAATGACGTGCGAACACACGCAATAAGCTCGTAAATTACTTTAAACGCAGATGCCACCTGCTCTCTTCGCCACTCTAGTTACATGTAAAAATAATTAACACACATTCCGGACTGATGACGTACAGCCGACTTGGAAGTTCAATCGCGCGTCAATTTTAACCTATTGGTAATATCTCTGATGAAGCGAGAGAGGTCCTTACCTAACCTTGTTGGCTACCGCTTCCACCATGGATAAACTCGTCCTTAATCAGTGTCCTTGTATAGTCTAATTCGCGTAATATAATAAAAGTTATAAACGACGATGAGTGTTCCGTTAAACGACCACGACCGTTATCGATGTAATGGCTCCTCGCCGCTGTTTCGTACGTGATCGTTTGGTTACCTACCTTACCTTTGTTTTTCTAGTGTTGCCACGTCTTAACAGGGTTGCCATTGTTGGAAGCCTCAATTACAGATATATAAGGGCGAGTACAGACTTCTGCACAACGTATAAATCAAAAGAGAATTAACCAATCAGAATCTTTCAGTTCCGTCCCTAGGATGGAAATGAAAGAATTCGATTGGTTGATTCTCTCAAGATTGCTCTACATTAGTGTCGATCGACAATAGGTATTTTAAGCTTTAAGCTTTTAGAAATTAACCAATCACAGTTAGTTATTCTCTTCACAAATCCGATTAGTCTAGGGAAAATTCGATCGTATACTGCGGATGTATCTCGTAGATCAGCTCGATGTGCGATGCGACATGCGACACGCGACGATATCCAATGAGTACTGCTTTTCCAGAAGAGCTGCACGTTCATTGGATGTCACACGTCGCGCATCGCGCTGGCTGCGAATGCCATAAAAACGGCTTAAGAATCGCCTGATGTAGTGTTGAGAACCCACGTTTAAGGAATTTTTATCGATAAAAGAGTTCAGAATACGGGCCTTTATGTGTATGTCATTATGCACGTTTGCTTCGGTACTGCTAGCAGTATCATGCTAGTGTGACGTCATCATAGTGCGCAGATACAAACGTTCCGTTCTTTGTACTGTCGAGTATGGAACTGTCCCGTCCACGTGCCCCGATCAATCGCATTGGTCAATTATCTTGATGATCAATGCGATTGGCCAATTCCGTTGAGATCATCGCCGATTAATCAGAGATTGGTGAAAGTCACCTTTATTACGCCTAGTAATTTAGGAACTTTTAACGAGGAACAGCTGATTGCTCACGGTCGCACTGTTCGACATCGTCCTGAACAGCAAGATGGCAACGGTCGTGAGAGCACAGTAAGGAACGAGCGATTTTCGGCTAATATCGCCAGTTTCGCGACGTTCCGAGTGATTGTCAGCGGTGTTGATTGGCTTCTGGTAATTATCCTTCACTTCTTTATCCTCACTGTTATCGTCGACGCGCTAGAAACGGACGTTCTCAGAACCGACAACGTCAATAGCCTTGATCGCCTGTGACATTTTGCGAACGTGATGTAGCAGACGCCTTTAATTACTCTTGCTCGACTCCGGTTACGATCTCAATAATTTTTTAATGATGCGTGCCGCCGAGTTTCCCCGCGAGATAAGTTCCTAGTTTCTCGAAGCTCAGATTCGTTCTGTCAAATTTATCCATATGATTTATCGATGAAAGTACGGCTGCTGACAGGTTTGTCACTTTAATGTGTGATTATCTTGTATTGAATGCCAGTGGTAGCATTGTAAGTTGCGTAAATAGCTTAAACATTTATTTACTAAAGTTTCTTACACTTATATGCAGACGTGGTGTGAAAATTGTAAAATCCTACTATGCCAAAGCACTTATATAGCTTGAGTTCCTATTTTGTACGTGATACTTTTGTACTTACAACTGTCAGTTCTATATGTATCCTTGCATAGATATTTTACGACCTATGTGTATGTTTGTAAGGACACTTGTGGAATCTATGATGATCTTGAAGGATACATGAAGTAGCCATCTATGTATATCAGGTTTATTGTCTAGTTTTATTGTCTGAAAATATAATTTATTACTGGGAATTAGCCTTCAAGTTTTTTCGACTGACAGACTACAAGGGAACTTAGTGAGGATAACAGGATTCATTTATTAGTACATAATGGTAATGATTTTTATAGATAGCGTGTGAAGATGACCGCGGGTACCAGTTTAGTAGTGCCCATAGTGCTATGGGGCCGCATAGCACCGACCCACTGTATTTCCTGTGTCTACCTGTCTCGGGATCAAAAGACGCTGGTAACAGGATGTTACGACGGGCAAATATGTCTGTGGCAGGTGGATCCAGAAACATTAAAGGTATAAAAAGAAACAGAAAGCTATTCTTCATCTGTTCCGGTTTTCAATATATCTTACGACTCTGGTTCTCCGGTACAGATGACACCGAGATGTTTGCTCGTGGGACACACGGCTCCCATCATGTGCCTCAGTCGCGCCAGCGTCATAATGGAGCAGAATTTCATCGTCAGCAGCAGCGAGAGCGGGGAGATGTGCACTTGGGACCTGGTCGACGGCAAGTGTCGCGAGGCGGTGAAGCTCAATAACATTCACACGCAAATGTTGCCCTACGTGTCCGCGGGCGGGGAGGACGTTAGATTATTCTGCTCCGGGTAGGTATTGTTCACGGTTCACATTCACATCGTCATAAAATCTCCCGCGCTTTCATCGAGAATATTCTTCCTTCTCGTCTCGTCTTTCAGATACTACCCCGAAGTTTTAGTCATGGATCCGTTCAGCCTGGAAGTACTATTTACCCTGAGCTCTCGCGTCAATCCGGACTGGATTAGCGCCTTGCACGTTTTGCGGCCGGCCAAACGGAAAGGTCGGTTCTACGTGCATACAAGTTAGTTACAGTCCATCACACCTACGCTTTGTACCATGAATCGCTACCTTCTGTCAACTTTACCGCTGATAGATACTGTATAAGGGCCGGTTGTAACGTGTCCTTGGCGAACGAATTTGTGCCTTCTCGATCTAAATTAGCGGAACAATCTGAACGTACCGTTTTACTGCAACCTAAAACTCTCGATCTTCCGTCTCTTCTCGCGATATTTTTTCATCTGAGAGAGAGAGAGAGAGAGAGAGAGAGAGAGAGAGATATATATATATATATATATATATATATCTTTCACACGAATCCGGTTACCTCTCACACAGTATCTCTTGGTATCTCATCTTTTATATTTATACGTTCTTTTCATGTAAACAATTGCGGTTACTAGTGGGGAAGACTTATTTTTTGGTTGGTTTCCGTATACCTGTTGTTTCGAACGAGACGAAGTCGGACGTAGTAATCTCTCACCGTTCTGTAACGATCGTACGACGTGAGAATAATAACTAACGACACCTAAGGCACTTGTACAGACGTTTTTTTTCTTTCTCTTATACTACAAGTCGCTAGTCTGCCACTTTTTGGGCGATTAACCTGAAGAGGCTTTGTGCTTTGGGTACAGCAGGGACTCTTACCTCTTAGAGAGAGAATATTCCGCGCGCATCATCTGTCGGTGATTCGCTACGCGATGATTCCCGCAAGTAAAGTCGTCCATAACGGGTCGGACATAACCGGTTTGACAGCGGCTCTATATACCTAATGTTTGGAATGATTACACTTAATAACGGTTACATTGTTACAGCATGTTAATGAAAGTGGACACACGCCAGTGCGCTAACGCGCTGGTAGCGGCTGTATCACTTCTCTTTCTCTGTCTCGTTTGTCTATTCTTCTATTTATTTAAAAAAAGATCGTGGCTCATATACATCTTTCCTTTGCACCTCACTTCTTGCAACCATTATTAACATCTCGTTTCACTTTTCTCTTTTCGTTTATATTCGCTCATCTAATCCCGTTTACTTACGACACGAATGACACGTTCATCCATATTCTCATACACATTGCATTTCACTACGGCATTCACTACGTTCTTCTAACACTCTCACCTGGTACACTATTTTTCTGTCTCTCTATCCGTAAGTATATATATATTAATACATTTACACGATAATAATTATAGATTGCACGCTATATGTTAAGGCTAAACTCAAGCTCACCTTATCTGTCGCCATAACGGAAAGCATGTCGATATACTGACTTATTTGTCTGTTGCCGTTTCGTAAATCGAAAATTCCATAGTGATCGGAGAGAAATCATTCAATGTGTTCGGAGTTATATGTATTTACCATTGTGTGTCTTGTAACTTATCCCCAGGTGGAAAAAATACCGTTAAAGTGTCGAGTGTGTAACTTACACCCAATTTTTCACATTAATTTTAATTTTTCGCACCGCTGCTTATGTGTTTATTTCACATATTATTATTATGCTAATTTGCAGCCCGGCGTTTGATATACAGGGTCAAACTAATCGTAGATTAGCGAAGCTTTCGAAAGGATACTGAGAGAGGGAGCGTTAAACGAAAAAAAAAAACAAATTGAGAAAACTCTCATCGGCGGCAATTTGAACGTCATTACGCACACTAATTGCCGTCTTTTAATCAGCACCACGGTCCTTGGATTCCGCTTGGCCAAACAAATCGAGAGTACACACATAGTTTCTGCGTAACTGGAATAAGCATGACACCGCTGTAATTTAATACGTGCCGCTTTCTACTCTGCGGAAACCATCTGGCATGCGCCCGTAATACCAGACCTCACGCATACGGGAATTATTATCGCTTGACGACGGCTCGCGTTACACTTGTACCGGCTCGAATGACGCCGTCTCTAATCACACCTGTAACGCTGTTTTGTGCCTCCAGTTCACACACGGCGATCTACTCGTTGAACTTGATAAACAAGAAAATGACTATAATCACCATTAATTGTATTAATGTGCCGCGGAGCTGATCCCGATTTTGTGTTACGTAGCGTCAGGATGACTCTGACGAAACGCTCTATCGCTTCTTTGAACGCTACAAACGCCTCTCCTAGATTAACTTAACGCGCAACAGGCGCTTCCATTCGGTTTAAAGACGACGTCGTGCTGGCCCTGACGACAACCGGCATGGTCAAGGTGTGGACGCTCTTAGGACACGAGAATCGGAACAGCGAGCCCCTGTACGAGCACGAGAGCAAGCAGATACGCTGCCTGAATGCACTCGCGATGACTTGCTGCCCATATAATCAAAGAACGGTGCTCATCGTGTGTTCCAAGTTTTGGCAGGTAATTAGCGACCGGTCGTACAGCTGAACCGGTGAAAATGTTTATCAGATTAAATGTTTCCTTGGCGGAGAACTAGTTCCTATAGCCAATCATATTTATTTACGGCCGTTATATTTATATTGTTATTAAAATTATATATAAAAATTAATATAATATTTATATATTATATATATCTACATAATATATATTATAGTATATATTTATATATTTTGATATAATATAAATGTATATTATATATATAATTATTATATATATATATAACAAGTTAATATGATATTCATATATTGATATCTGATGTTTATTTTATATTTTATATTATATTTATCATTAATATTATATTAATATTAAAAATTGTACCAATTGCATAGATATATGACGCCGGTGATTTCTCGGTTCTCTGCTCGATAACGGCTCCGCGAGGTGAACGTTGGATGGCGGGCGATTTCCTGGCCGCCGACAAGGTCATCCTGTGGAGTGACGAAGGTCACGGATACCTGTACAAACTTCCGGCCAAGTACGTAGAGTCTCTCGATACATACGATGCATTTTTCATAATAAGTTTCCGTCGACGAACTTCACTGATTCTCAAATGTCGTCATAAGATACTCCTTTTGTTTCCACATTATTCGAGTTCGATTTGACCTCCCTGGCCGATAACAGTTGCTTAACGAATAATTACCTCTCATGTGCCTCGAACATTTAATACTCGCAAGTTGAATGACATTACGCTCACAACTTGATTGAAGTACTCGAATATGAAATTTTATTGATTAGCTCATACCCCTTTATTGCTTCTAGGATTCTGGTACAACTTGACAGGTAGTTTCTCTTTACGCGTATACACATAAGTATTGAAAATTCTGTTGCGGATAATACTCTAACAAATGGTTCTGCAAAGGGAACGTTATATTAATTGACTAAGTGAATAGTTTAGCGCAGCATGATTACGGTTACTGAAGCGCACTTTTTCTCAACTGCAGTTCATAGAAGCTAACAAATTCTGGAATAGCGATCGAAATGAGTTATTCGCGTGTTCTTAACACCTGATTGTGATTTATGCGATGATATACCTTGGTGATACGATCTCAAAGATGTTTTTCCACGCGTTTTTGTCGCATTTTGTCGTAATCTGTATTTTTTAATCCTCAGTTACACTTCACGTAACTCTCGGCAAGAGAGTGCAATCCAAATCGCTTAGGCATTCGTTACTTTGCCGTGAATTTCTAACACACGTAACCATCAGGCGTATTAACTTACAAAACACGAGAATAAGCTTGCCTCTTACAATTTTAAGGCTGAATGCTGTAGAAGCACTGGCTAGCAATGCACATTTTCGATATTTTAGTTTTTACTTATCTTTTTTATAATCATTTATCATGCGCCGACATATCTGGATTCATGTGACTTTGCTTAGTAAACTTCCGTAATGTCTGACATATTTCGGTCTTGTAAACTAGAAGGAAACATTCGTTATTATCCTCTGTACAGTTACTGTTATGATTTTAATCAAATCATAAATTCATGAGGATACTCCGAAAGTAATTATTAACGTGAAAAAAATCGACACTGGGAAGTAATCGTTAACGTTATTGAAATGACATTTAACGAAACGGTAGTCAGAGGTACCGATTACGTCAAATCTCTTTCGTTTTATTCTTTCTTTTCTTCATGTAAAGATAATAAAATACGAGAAGAAGTCCCTCTTATTTGCGGTCACTGAGGGAACTCGGCCGAGAGCACAATATAAGAGCATAACTTTCACATATGTATGTCAGAGTTGTAAAAGTATCGGTTAAATTCTTCTCAAATGAACAATCGATTTGAATAATTGATTCGAGCGGGCTTCAATTGAATCTGTTGAGATCAGTTGTCAATTGAACAGCCTTTAACGGTCGAATTGGCTCATACCAATTGTTAATATTAAATAATTAATTAAACAAATAATATTAATAATAAGATAATTAATTAAACAAACAATTAATTACTCGCAACCCTGATGTACGGATGAATTAACAATTAACACAACGGTCCATCTTACGGTGATGTCTTTTCCATATCACACATATCTACTGCATTCTACGCGGGATCTGGTGTTCTTCTAGCAAGCTGAAGGGCAAGGCTCTCAGCAGGTAACCCGGATTACATCACACTCTCAGTAATATCTTTTTTAATCTCTCTTGTTCTGTTTTCCCTCCTCTCTCTCTCTCTCTCTCTCTCTCTCTTTCGTTTTCTATTGATTTCTCTCGTTATTTTCTTTTATTCTTCCATGCTCGTAAATACAATGATTCGCTTGCACTTTTCCTTCTCCTTCGGTACAAGGATGTGTGATAAATCAAGCAGTACGTACGTAGTTAGATTTGCATTGATGTGCCACGGCAGCGGCGAATGGAACGGCGCAGATGCATCGTATTTCAATTTCCAGAAAATTGGCTTATTGCATTGACACAGATTATACGTCGTCGTCGTCGACGACACTCGTGATTCACACACAGGTGGTTCTTTTACCTTTTCCCGCGTGTGACATTCGCGAGAACACGCTCATACGTGCGATTTCTTTTTTCGACATTTATAAGCGCAAGTTCGCATGCATATATAATATATATATATATATATTTTTTTTATATATGTATTTATATATATACATGATTCAACCCTTAATCGCCGTCCAAACAGATCGAACAGATCCGAGACGAGCGGATAACATGGATGAGGTGAAAATGTAAAAACAATGTGCGCGGAGGAAGGTAAATGTGAGGAAGAATCACGTATCGCCATACAACTCATTACTTGTGTTATCACATTCTATTCTTTGCTTTGAGTTGCTTTGCACCGATATTGTTAACTACGCGATGACGCAACAGACGTGACACAAAGGTCGAACGGAAATCTTCCTGAGTGGTGGAAAGCAAGAAAAACAAAAGAAAAATATCTCCGTCTCTGGCATACATACATGTTGTTCGACTCGAAAAGAAAGAATCCGTCGTTATTGTTTTCTCAGTTTGAATACGATTGACATAACTCGGGGACATCTCTGCAGATATCTCTGCCTTTGTGTTCGTCGTTCGTGACGGTCCAAAAATGCTGTTGCTTCGAGAAGGCGTTTACTCGCAGCGCTGGTTCGCTTGCTAGTAAACATAGATGGCGAATAATTATGCATATTTGAAATTATTCGATGTAACATGTAAAGCTTATGCGATGTGATAGAATAATTGACTATTCGTGGACTGTTTGTCCGAGTACTATTTGTATCGATCACCTCGACATCTCCGTCGTATTTCGTGATAATCCAATGTAAAACCCATTTGTCCACGAATAGTAGCTGAATCGCTACTCACAGAGACGAGAATAATTGCTAACCATAGGTTTTTTTTTACATGGTATATAGCAGCGTCGCTGACAATAAGAACTTCCACACCGCCGGTGCCGAATACGATCAGCCGTATTTGTACTGCACACTAACGCAACCCGGAGATAAGGTGAGAAACATTTCGTCATGCCTAATAACGCGGACTAATGATAGTGAGATTGAGAGGCATTAGTGTGCCTTGTTTTATCACAGATATATCTGAATCGTTCGTTCCTCGAATCTTCGAGGAATTCTTCAATCTCCCGATTGCTTATCTCTCAAGATTCCTTACGTCTTAGGGAATCTTTAATCCCGAAGCTGAGGTTTCTTATCTCTGAGACTTTCAACTCCTTCGATCTTCCTCCGTCTTTTACTATATTGGATCCACCATTTTGAACGTGAAAAATTTTGACTTCATACTAGTAAACAGTGACCTCAGAAACTCCTAGACAAAATTTTAGTGACGTTATTTAACTTTTGAAAATACACTTTATGCCAGCTTAAGCATTTTTGCGAAACTCAGCTTGTCAGTCAAGGGATTAAAAACAATATTTTATATATAAATTATTTTCACAGAAGAATACGTTTTATTCGAAGAAAGAAGCAACAAACTACTTGGCGATTTTAATAGCGATTTCCTTTCTGTTTTTGATCAATACTGCTTGAATAAATACTATTTGAATATGTGGAAATTTGTATGGTGTATTTTTTAAACTATCTTTTCTTTGTAAAGTATCTTGTTAGGTTACTTAGTTTCCAATTGTTGTTAATTCACTGATCTTCATTTCATGTATTTCAGCCTCTTTCATGTCCACCAGCGATGCGACTGGTCACCGTGCAGCGGCAGAACAAGACCCTGAAGTATCTGCTGCGCGGCGACAGTGAAGGTGTTGTTATCCTGTGGACGGTACCGGATATTACAACACAGCAGCTCGCTCAGATATGTCAGAACGACGGCTCATCGCCACCTGCGCTTTCGCCGACCGTGAAGACGAGTCTCACCGCTGCTTGGGATGCGATGAAACCTCCTCCTGTGGGGATACTCGATCAACTGGACTCTGGCGATGGTCAAGGCATCAAGCTCACTGCTTGCATATACTTGCCGCAGCAGAGCCGGCTAGTAGTCGGCCGTGAAGACGGCAGCATCATCATCGTTCCGGCGACGCAGACCGTGATGCTTCAGCTACTCCACGGCAATCATCAGCAGTACGATGGTATCGTATCTCTGTCGTTTTTAAGGAATCCTTACGCGTGTATATTTATAATCCGATTAACCCTTTCACGTTTGACTTTTTTGAGAATTTGGACGTATCTTGTCTAGTTATTTAAACAAAAATTTTTGAGGTTGTTGAATACGAAAATAATGTTGACACAAAATTTCAAAGTGGCAGGTTTAATGTGGCGGATGCAAATAAATAAAATATTATCAAATTCTAATAAAATTGTATATTACAAGGATTTTGCAAATGTTAAATATGAAAATAATATCGAAACATAAACATTCAAAATGGCGGATTCAATATGGCAGTTGCAAAAAATAAAATATTATGAATAACTTGAAAGAAAAACTATCTGTGGAAGACAAATACGATCAGATATGAAATGCTGTACGAAAATCAATACAATTGTGACAATTAGTTTTATATTATATTAGTTAATTATATTATGATATATATATAATTGGGCATTCATTGTGNTATCAATAGTTATTTCTTCTATTATTGAAATACGAAAGGCTTGGAAATTACGCTCGTTTATCATTATATATAATATACATTTATCATTATATATAATATACATTATGTATAATATAAATATTATCAGAAATTTATACTACCAGTTATATTTAAGTTATCGTCATGTGAAAGTAATACTGCGTATCATATCGAACCTTTTATAGTTAGTCCGAGAACTTCCCGACATTACTGCATACATAACTTTTTATACTTTATGATTGTGTTTCTCGCAATATTTTTTAGTTAAAGTTTAAACGATTCCTTTTAAAACAAGTCTTGATTGGTCCTAATACCTTAATATTTATCAAAGATATGAATTTTTAAACATGGTGGAGAACATGTACGTTCCATTGGACGTGAAAGCGTTAATTAATCCGATAATGCGATATTCGTATATTTTTATAGTGCTTCTTTTCAATTCGAATTTTCGCTTTTTCTGACACGTATCAGATTGGCCGCCGCACCAAGTTCTCCTGGGTCACTCGGGACGAGTGAATTGTCTGCTTTACCCCCACGGCGCGGCGCCTCGTTACGATCGCACTCATCTCGTTTCCGGTTCGGTAGACTTCGCCGTTTGCCTCTGGGATCTGTACGCCGGCACACTGATCCATCGGTTTTGCGTTCACGCCGGCGAAATCACGCAATTGATGGTGCCGCCCGATAATTGCAGTGTACGGACTTACTGTTATCGTTGAAATCTACGATGACGATTAACTTTTAACCGCCTGTCAGTCGAACGCTTGCGCTTACAAGAAATATCGGTTACCCGGCAGACCGCCACTCGAGATGAAGGTATCAAGGAAGTTTGTTACATTTTGCAGCCCAGGATACAGAAGTGCGTTTGCAGTGTCGCGTCGGATCACAGCGTGACGTTGCTTTCGTTGGCCGAGAGGAAATGCGTCGTGCTCGCTTCGCGACACCTTTTCCCGGTCGTGACCATCAAGTGGAGGCCGTTGGACGACTTCATGATAGTCGGATGTTCCGACGGAGCCGTTTACGTCTGGCAAATGGAGACCGGTCACTTGGATCGTGTACTGCACGGTTTGTCAGCATCACGTTGTTCCGACCTTTTGAGAGAGTCGCTCGCCCCTCCCTGAATATTTTAATTTCTTAGGACCTCAAGAGAGCTCCTATGTATCTTTGAAATCTTAGATCCTTTTGTCATTATTCGCGTTGAAAAGTAATGCGGTAAAAACATGGAAAAGAGCGTCAAATTATATCTCTTCTACTTAAAAACGGCTAACACAGAAAAAAGAACTGAATAGAAATTTAATCGTATCTTCCTCCTTATATATAAAACATCTCTAAGAACGGCGGATTGTGTCCCTTCCGTAGGTATCATCGCGGAAGAGGTGCTCTACGCGTGCGACGAGAACACTCTAGCAGCGTCCGGAGGATCCGCCGCTGGCGGTGAGCTGGGATTGGCCAATCCCGCCGTGCATTTCTTTAGGTAAATGAAATCTTGCAGCACGGATGGTGAGAATCTTGCGTGTTATTCAGCGAAGTGAACTCACTTTGCGGGAACAACGTTCTCCGTTACAGTCCGTACAATTTTCGCTTCTCAGGGGTTTACGTCACCGTAATCTGTCAGCGATTAGACACGCGACGCAGAGGGGGTTGCATCAGCTGCAGCAGCTGCACGGCGGACACGGTCCCGATCACGGGAATCAGATTAAAGCCAAAGGCTCGCCGCTGATGATCCAAGGCTTCAGGAGTAACCCGAAGGACCCGGAGAGTCACATCCTGTTCTTCGACATTGAAGCGTTGATAGGTATGCACTCTCACAAGAGAGGATTCGTTACAGTTTCTCGTAGAAGTTAAACTTTACTCGCGTCGTTCGTGCCCTTTCGGCAATTGTGCGACATATTGTGTTCTCTCATAGTTCGCAACAATGGCTGCATTCAGCGGAAAAAGCAACTCAGTGAGTGCTCAATGATTATTGTCCGTGATTGGAGCATTTTTTTTAGATTCTTTATAGATCCAAGAGTATATACCAATCAGGAACGATAATCGCTCCCTGAGCTGCTTTCTCCGCTGAATTCAGCTAATAGCTACGTTCATTGGTGTATGTTCTTAAATTTAACCAAGATTAAGAGAATACGCCAATCAGATTCACGAATTTACAACAGTTGCAGAACTATTTTCTCTACTGAACGCGGCCAATGACTACGTTTACATGGCAACGCTAATCCGATTTAGCTACAACTGTAGCTATAGCTTTTTTAGATTCGTGTGTGATTACACAAGAAGTAATTTTAGGGATCATTCAATAATTAGCTTACGTGATGGCAGGGAAAGGGGAGGGGGGATAAAGGCCAGATTTATAAGTCTACATCTCTTCGAAAACAGATGAAGATTAACGATAACACCCGATGTTACAATATTGGTGTAACGTTTACACGACATTTTAAATTAGGAATTACAACTATGGATTGTTAATCCGGATTAGCGTTGCCAATAATCCGATTCGTCCTTCTGTCGCAGTACAATTGCTCAGTGATGAGTACGGCGCCATGTCGCCCGGTTCTCTGGAAGCGCAAGGCTTAATCTCCGCCGCCGAATATCAGAAAGTTGCCGCGCTCACTCAGTCCGCGAGTCCCGATGCTCACAAAAAGATCGTTGGTAAGAATCTTTCTTCGAATTAATTAAGTCACAATGAAGTACGCCGTATATAGAGTCGAAAGTGTATATATGTACTTTGTGGTGAGATTTTACGCAGTTCTACCTGTTTAAGGATCAAGATTGCAGGTGTCTTTATTTGATTGATGTGTCCCTTTGTAGACTTTTTTGGTCGTGTCAAGGATAAGGCGGGCGATGTTGAGCGAATATTGAAGGAAAAGGATCGCCACGGTATCGTGCTTTGTTATTGTTATTTGTTCCGCAAATTCACGCTGCGTGTTCGTCGATTTTTCCTCACACACGTCGAAAATGCCTTAGATCTTTTTTTAAAAAAAAAGTCCCCGCATAATAATATTTGAGATAGAAGGTATAGTTTCATTTCTTCGTAACACGCGACGTTATCGTACTTGATGTGAGCTTCCCGAAGAAACTTCATTATCCTCGTGATCTTCTTTCCTAGGATTCTGAAAGCATTTGGCCGACGATTCGTTTCTTCCCCCGTTGACATTTTCTTTCATTTACCAGTTGATTATTGAGCTTATTTTTCGTAAATCTCTTGATTTATGCGTTTATCACGGAATGCAATTTATTTAACGTTCCTTTTACATTTCGCAAGAAGCGATTTCCGCGCACGAGGTTACGTGTTACGGTATCACGTCGACTCTTACATCTTCAGTGTATGTTGTCAGCTTTCTTTATTGCGTGTGTCGTCGTGGATCATTCGATCTTTTTACGCCAACATTAGTCACTTTACACGTTTACCCCCTTTTTACTCACATCCTTGAATTCTTGTACATTTTTAAGTTCTTTATAATCCACCGCTTCTTAACTGTAAGATCTTCACAGATATCTTCTTCTCCATTTTAATCCATTTCGACGAGTCACTTTAAATGCAAGGTTTGTTCTCTTTTATCGCTCTTAATAGGTTGCAGTAGTATTAACGTTCCTTTGTAGATGTCTTCGGTTCATATATTCATCCGGTAGACGTTTTGTTGCGACTGTCCTTTCCGAGATTATCATTCTGTCTAAAAGTCAAATCTCTTTCTGTAGGTATATTGGCTAAGATGAAGGAGGGTGCGGAGAATGTGCATACTAAGTTACAGGCCAAAGCGGAAAGCGTCGGCCTCAAGCCGTCGGCGTTTGACGGCAAAGGTTAGACATTTTGAAAGCGAAGAGTCTCTGTAGTTCACACACACACGCACACACGCACACGGCGCAAAAATTCCGCATGGATTTAATTATTTTCCACTCTTCGGAATGCCGTTATGATGCTTTATGATTTGATTCTGCGTCGGTAGAACAGAAATTGCAGTCGGTCTCTTCAGTGCACCTCGCTAGTTGTTGTCAGCAGTTAAATATCTTCACTATTCCGTCTAGATTATTATATTTTTAACGCATCCCGTTAGGATTAAGGGTCTTAGTTCGCAGGAGTCGCCAGGCAAGGAGATAGAACGCTGCTGTTGCCGAGATCGCTTTGACTTTGATAATATGCACGCTTGTTGAGAGCTTCCAAACATTATATTTTGTATACTCGTCTTCACGGAATTCACCGCCGCTTGTGTCTTTGATTTTGTGACACGTGTGATACATTTCAGCGATCATGGATCAAAGATTACTGTGCGTGTGTATGTTCTCAGTCGCACTACTTGATGTCGTCGACACACCCTTTGGGAATTCTATTTGGTTGATTGTTTTTTTATCAATACGCTCTGTGTATTTATTGTACTTTGTTGTCGAAGTCGTCTTCCAGTCGTGTTGCACCATAGCTGTTTTCGCCGTTCCGTTGAGTACTGAGTACTTGCGACGTTAATACCCGCCGCTTTGCCGCTTTGCAGGTGAAAGTTGGAACAATAACGACGTGGCGAAGAACAACTTGAAGCGAAATGGCGCGTTCAGCGAGCCGAACGCGACGATGGAGGTTGCACAATTGCTCCTGAGTCTTCTGCATGCCTGGGGCATGGACCCAGATTTGGATCGGGTCTGTGAGGGAAAGTTGGGCTTATTGCGGCCTATGGTTCCTGTATCGTTCGGAGTATTGTCTAAGGGAGGTATGCTCTAACAAAACAACAAGATTCGTCATTTAAAAGGAGTCGGTGAAATGGAGATATTATACATGATTAAATATATACTCAATAATTTAATATATATAATTAAATATATTCACATTGTGTGTGGTATGATTAAAATATATTCAAAATAATTTCAACATATAAGTATACGCATGGATTATCTATATAGATAAATGGATATGTGGATTATTTTGTCTATCATATATATATATATATATATATATTTGAATGACAAATTTTCTATGTATTACACATACAATGCGTTAAAAATAATCTTTGATATCAAGCCACCTCTGTATTCAAAATAAAATGATATTTAAAATGTATTATTCTCTGATACAAAATTGGTACTTAAAAAAGGCTGTGTATTACAGGCTATATGTCGTTATTACTGCCAACTTGGCAGACACAATTGGAGCCAATGGGCGAACCTACAACGCAGTTGGAACAACGTTTACCAGCTGAACTAGTCAGGCAAGAGAGGCTCACTAGAGCATTCACTGCGAGAGCACACTGGGAATTATCAACGACCTTAACGAGTAATCACTTGTTGGCCGTAGTCGCTTTATCGAACACTTTAATGTCGATGAACAATGCAACGTTTGTACCTGAACAAGAACGAAATCGTAAGATGCACAGGTGAGCTGGTGATAAGAGAGAAATATAATTGAAACATTAAATATACACATTCTGAAGTACACACAATATGATGAATTATATCGTTTAATATAATTCATTATATAGTATTCTCACAACATGATATATAATTATTTATAATATTATATAATTATTATAATTATACATAATGATTATAATATATAATTATTACGTATTGTTATAATATTTAATTCAACCATATTTTTCTCATGATTATAATGCGTGTAAATCTAACTCAACATCTAATATAAAAGTGGAAATATACTTAAGATAAAGTTTAGAAATAAGAAGGAATGTCCTATAAATAGACCAGGTAATAGAGGTGCGGTGAATTGGAATAAAACGGAGGAAGAAAATGAGGAGATATACACAGTGCAACAAGCACAGATCAAGCAGGGTTGGTCCCTCCTTGCTACGTTGCATTGCGTATTGTTACCTGACAAAGTCGCGACGCAAGGCGGCGCGAAGACTTTCAAGCGGCCACAAGTAGAGATGATGGCACGAAGGTGGCAACATCAATGTGTGGAAGTACGTTGTCGAGACATTTTGAATTTTTTCTCTCTCACAACACACAACACACAATTATATATCACGAAATTTCAAAGTCACGGATTTAGTTTGAGATTTAATTTGGCAAAACATTAAAAATATGTTGTATGGATATTGCTTGTATTATTTATTTACTTTATTCTTTTATTTATTCTTAGAACATCTCGTGTGATATTTTTAATGATGCATTTTTAGATCCGAGAAGCAGCACAGGCTTTGCTGCTCGCCGAATTGGGCAGGATGGGAGCGAAGGGTCGTAAAACACTCGTCGATAGCTGGTCGCAGTATTTGCCAATGTACAGTACTCAGGAACCCATTGCGCCACAGCCGCAGAGCCAAAACTCGCCGGCACCCGGGAGTCCGGTACCACCGTCCGAATCACAACCGGAGGAAGAAGATGAAGAAGAAGAATTGGCCGAAGGTAAGTTATCTTCATCAACGAAGCTAAACCTTCGTCAATAAATTTTCATTAACAAAAGTTAAGTAGTGTTACTCTTACTCGTGTCCGGGCTTATGGAGAAATAAATCTACGCCAAATAATCAAACTAAAGGTCATTTAATAATTAAGGACGTATAAAACAAGAAGCTCGAATTAAATGCCTCTGTCTCAGAATCGGGTTGACCCAGAAATCACCTTGCTGAGCACTCAAATTTTCCTTATACTTCTTATCTTGAATCTTAACCACTTGTCTCTTGCTTCTTCTAAGGTCAATCTAAAAACGACCAACTGGTAATACGTTTTTCCCAGCAGAGATGAGCATAGCCAGGAAACCGTCGAGCGTGGCAGAACTGAAGCGGAAGCAAACCACAGCGGTGGTGTTGCTGGGCGTCATAGGAGCCGAATTTGGCCAGGATGTGACCACAGTGAACCAGAGAAGGGACAACGAGCAAAGACGCAAGAGCTCGATCGTGGAG